ACTCACTCTTCCATGATGGAATTAATGTGAGAGGAGCTGTACTTGGAAGTTTGCCTGTGTCCCTGTCAGCTGGTCATTGGGACAAATCTCTCCCAATCCCACCCTACAAGTAAACACACAGAAGTTTATATTAATTATAACTGGTTGGCCATTAGTTCAGGCTTATTAATGACTAGCTCTGACTCTTAAATTTACCCATAATTTTTATCTATGTTTAGCCATGTGACTTGGTACCTTTTATTAACTCTGCCTTGTCATCTTGCTTCTTCTGTGTCTGGCTGGTGACTCCTGACTCAGCGTTCCTCTTTCCAGAATCCTCCTCTTTTGTTTCCCCACCTATAATTCCTGCCTAGCTACTGGCCTATCAGCATTTTATTTATCAACCAATCAGAACAACACATATTCATAGCATACAGAACGACATCCCACAGCACTTCCTCTTTTCTGTCTAATCAAAAAGGAAGGTTGTAATGTTAACATAGTAAAATTACATATAGCAAAACAGTTATCAAGCAAGAATTACAGTTACAATATTGAGTCTATTTGTATTTGGCAAAATTAAAGAAAATATTCTATCATCTATCCTATATTTGTGAGTCTAAAGTTTCATATCTATTTATCTTTTATCATAACCAAGGAAAATTATAACATTCTAGTTTTCAAATACATCAAAGACCTCAGAAGGATATATTACCTTAGTAAACAGGAAGAGTATTGGAATTTGGAAGAAACATCCAAAATTCTGGTATGACAGAGACAGTTGCTCGCCTGGACAGTCACTCAAATTGCCTCTGAAACATTGGGGCATCCATCTTCAGGCATTAGACCTAGAGTTTTTTAGTTGCTTCAACCCTGTGTCCTGTAGAATATTTGGCAAGAACATGAAGAACCAGCTCATCTTTCAGATTTCAGTGGTCACCTTCCTATGTGTCCTGCATGTCTACTTTATACAACACACTTTCAAGCAGTCAATGCAAGGACACTTTTTTACCCAATGGCTAACATTTGCCACAAAGAAAGCAAACCCATAACGAGCTTCTTCAATGTCTCTGAAATAGAATGGCGCTGCCAGAAGCAGGCATGTCTCAATGTCCAGACTCAAAGTTCTTAAAACATTTTAAATGTCATATTCTGTAGGTCTTTGAAGTGTTTGAAGATCTCCTACCTAATTGAAATACACCTTTATATACCTAAAAAACTTAACTAACATGACTATAAGTTTGATTATCATGGATGACTAATTATTAATCTGTATTTCTTAATTATACATTACAATTTCAAATGAGCTGTAGAAACATTAACCTTAAGCAAGAGTAAAGATATACATACAATATAACAAAATTAACTTTAAATTTGTATCAATAAACTAAAATCCCTAACATTTTAAACAAGTTGTTACTCTTTATTCTATCATATCTACAATATCCCCTTTTCTTCTTTAGTAAGAGATTGCATTTATAATCAACCCCATTAAATAAAAATAAACATTTATAAAAAATATTTTGGGAATTTGGACATAGCTTCTCTCACTACTTCCTGTTGGTTGTGGGCACTAGTACTCTTATGGGGATCCTGAGAAAACTAAGAATTATGGTCAAGTCCTGACTGGAGTAGTCTGTGATGCTGCATTATCTGAGTCAGTTGCCTTGAAGCTGATTTTGCATGTTGGATCACCTGGAGACCTCTCAGTGGCTCCTTCCTGATCAAACCATATTAGCTTGGAAGTGATCCATCAGTTCTCATCTTCTGTAGAAACAGGAGCTCAACCTCTTTTCCAAAACAACATATACTTAGACACAAATTTTGAAGCCAAGATAATATATATATATATAAATTTAGCAGCCTTTACAGTCAAATGTCTTTCTGCAGTTAAAAATCCCAAAGACAACACAATCCAGAAACTCTGTGTAATATCCAACTTAATGTGGCTTAATTTTACATTACCTTTACTGTCACTTTAAAGACTTTATTTTTTAAAACTATTTCTTTATATAACTCTCTATATTCATTTTCTTCTCCCTTCCAAGCCTACATACATTTTTACACACACTGTAAACCATTTAAAGTCTCATTCCATCTGAATCTGCCTTATTGTGAATCTATTGCTTTAAACTGTAGTGACTAGTACTGAAGCTGAAGCCTTGACTGTTGACTCTGCCCATTTCAGCTTTCCAATATGGTGGTGGTACATTTACCACCAGCTCTGGGAGACATGTGCATCACTAACTCTTGGAAGCAGTGGGTCTAGACCTCCATCAAAGCAGTGTGTAGTCCAGAAACCATTTTTTTTTCTGCACTAGCAAAAGCTATATCCACTATGCACCATGCTGCTGTGCAGCTTGGAGACGCCTCTGTGTACAGTGGCAGGAATCCACAATGCTGCACTCAAGCCCACATGCCACCGCAAACATGCTATACCATAGCTTATTGCTCACATGAGAGACAAAAATAGACAGCTGCTTTTTGCTCCTTTTTAGAATTTTCTTTTTATAACTTTCTGTGGTTTTAGGTGGAAACTCTTGCTCTACATTGGGTAGCCAAATGTAGTTGGAAGGTTTTCTGTGTCCTAGCTGGCCAGCAGCCAGGACAAATCTCTCCCACTCATGCCCCCCAAGTAAATAGGCTTATATTAATTATAACTGCTTGGCCATTAGCTTAGGCTTATTACTGACTAGTCCTTACACTTAAATTAAACCATATTTTAGTATGTTTAGCCATGTGGCTTGGTGCCTTTTCTCAGTTCTGCCTTGTCATCTTTCTTCCTCTGTGTCTGGCTGGTGAATCTTGACTCTGTCCTTCCTCTTCCCAGAATTCTCCTCATGTGCTTGCCCACCCATACTTCCTTCCGAGCTGCTCAATCAGAGTTTTATTTATCAACCAATCAGAGCGACACATATTCTTAGCCTACAAAACAACATCCCACCACAAATATCTGGTGATTGGGGTCAGCAATGTGAAAGATGTACAAAGAATGTATTCCTTGCAGAGTTTATCCTGTTGGTATGCTGAAGCCTAACCATACCTTCTGAAATATACTGACTACCCAAATTCATTGCTGGGAGACATGCCTTACTGAGAATAGGCTTACACAGTGTGTGTTGTGAACGTAGTAGCTATTTGAAATTTAACAATCCTCATGTTATTGAAAGTTCTGGCTACTGTGTTCCTGAATGTCTTAATACAAAACATATCTCCTGTGATTTATCTAATGATAATTATATGATATAATGAACTACAAACTTTATCACTTCTGGACACTCAATAACCACTTATGTCTTCCAGATAATATAGAGGTTAATGGAGAATACTGGTGGTGGTAGTTTAACTAGGGTTTTCTGAGCCCATCTTGAAGACACTCCTCTAGTTTAAGAAGAGTGGAATACAGTGTTAAAGGTGCAATATTATGGGAACTTTATCTGGAGTAACATGAACAAACCATGTAATCCATTACATAAGGCACCATTGACAGAAAAAAATACAATGCCACCCAAGTATGATGTGGTGAACCAGTGAATTTAATTTTGATTACTAAACCAAAACATTGGTAAGTGGCTCCTTAATGAAGTTGGGGATATTTTATATAGCTATACCACCAAACAAAACCTATACCTTTTTCTCTTTTCTCTTTCTTCTTTAGCAAGGAATAATACCAGCATGGGGCAAAGTATTGCAAAACCCTTCCATTATCTATAATAAATTTTATGACTAGTCCTGTGAAAAACATAGGAGGACATTTCAGCCACTGTAATTGAAATAGGGAAACCCTATCTTTATTTCATGTCGTCCTCAGGGGATAGATTACCACAACATGCAGGCATTCCCAGCACTTGTAGATATTATGTCCCTGGGATAAAAAAAAAAACAGTCACCAAAGTTTTATTGGGAAATGGAAAACACCTCTTCCAGGCAGAATAATAAAGCCAAAGGTGTCTACATTCTTATGCCCAGAACCTGAACTTATTAGCTCTGGTACCAGATAGTACTTAAGTTAAGGAGCTTGGAGGAGTATAGCATGAATCTTACAAGGTCTTATTAATAAAAAACAAACCCAGAGCCAGGTATTGTGATGGATGATGAAAGATCAGAGAAACAGAACAAGCCACCAGCCAACCTCACCTCACTAAATCCTCAGCTGGTCTTGTTTCCTCGGACTGAAAAGCCTCTGAGACCTCACCCGAATGGATCTCACCTGAACTGCTACTAAAAGCCTAAAAGCTTAACAAGCCTCTATCTAGTTCCTGGTCCTCATGTCTTATATACCTTTCTGCTTCCAGCCATCACTTCCTGGGATTAAACGAATGTGTCACCATGCCTGGCTATTTTCAGTGTGACTTTGAACTCACAGAAACATGTAAGAGGGAACATAATTGGAAATGTTGTTTCTTGGCTACTGTGAATCAGGACATTGTGACTAAAATTGTGGAAGAACATTGGAGCCTAGAGAGCAAAGAGAGCAGAGTCTGCTCTGAGCCCTGCCTTAAAAAAATATTTGAACTGAGATGGGCGGTTGTGGCGTACGCCTTTAATCCCAGCACTCGGGAGGCAGAGGCAGTTGGATCTCTGTGAGTTCGAGGCAAGCCTGGACTACCAAGTGAGTCCCAGGAAAGGCGCAAAGCTACACATAGAAACCCTGTCTTGAAAAAACAAAAAAAAAAAATATTTGAACTGAACCTATCGACCCACCTTGAGAATATAGCCTCCCATTGTAATATCATAAATGAACCTTTTCTTAGAACAGTGTGCTTATTTTGACTAACACCACTTTTGCATATGTCGGGTCTGCAATTGTTTCTCCTTGTGAATGTTTATTTTATGTCTTAGAAAACACACAGAATGGGTGGAAAGCTGTGAGGAATATAGAAAAAAACATTTTTCTAAAGACTTTTAAGAGACCCAAGTACTTGGCAAAACTCCTGAACTGGGGAAAAAAGAGAAGTTCCTCTTTTGGGGAACTGGTGATAGTACTGATGTGGCAAACCCATGACAGGAAGGACCTGACCTCAGCCTGAAAACAGCCTGTGTGATGGTTCTACAGAATATGGTCTGGCTTTCCTAGGAGCACTAGCAAGAAAAACAGCAAGACTCACTATGGTCCCCATGCTGAGAATGCTGCTCTGTCTTGGTAAGATATGAAGAGGGATAGTGGACACTCAAGTCTGTAAGAAACCCTACTACAACCCAGGTCTTATTGAATCTGGAGACTCCATGATATTGACCCTGTCTCTCAGACTGAAAAAAATCTCTCAGAGTGAATTTTCTTTCAGGACTGAGTGTGGGACAGAAGACTGCTGTCCTGCCAGGTGAGTGTCTCCTTCCTTCCCAAGATGTTATTCTTTACTCTGAATACCAGACATTTTTTCTCTCCTCTTGGTTAACTCTTCAAAATGTGGAGTGAAAAAGGTTTATAGATGATGTTATAATACCTTTAAGTACTCTATGCTAAGGCTAGGTGTCTGAGGGAGGATTGTATGGGATTCAGCCTTTGATTTCCTTGCAGGAACCCTCACAAAGCCCAAAATCTGGGCTGAGCCACACTCTGTGATTGCCATGTATGCACCTGTTACTATTTGGTGTCAGGGTTCTTGGGAGGCCAAGAGGTACCATTTGTTTAAAGAGGGAAGCACGGATCCTTGGGACCAACAATCTCCTCTGGAAGACTCGGACAAGGTTAAGTTCTACATCCAACACATGACAGAGGACTTTGCAGGGATATATAAGTGTTACTATCAGAGTCCTGCTGGCTGGTCAGAACACAGTGACACCCTGGAAATGGTGCTAACAGGTGAGTGAAGACTCAGGGTTCCCAGCACAGGCTCTCCACTCAGAAGGAGTTCAATTCTCCAGGGGTACTACTTTCAGAGCCCAAGCCTCTAGGACAATGTGGGTAGATTAAGTTCATTTCACACACTTCCCCTTGTATCCTAGGAGTCCATGATAATCCAAGCCTGTCTGTCTGGCCCAGTCCTGCTGTGACCTCAGGAGAGACCATAACCATCCAGTGTAGCTCATCGCTGGGATTCGGCAGATTTATTCTGATCCAGGAAGAAAAGCACCACCTCCAATGGACCCTGGACTCACAGCCAAATGCCAATTGGGAGTTTCAGGCTCATTTTGTTCTGGACCCCGTGACTGCCATTCACAATGGTACATTCAGATGCTATGGCTATTATAGGAACCATCCCCAGGTGTGGTCAAAATCAAGCGACCCCCTTCACCTCTTGGTCTCAGGTAAGAACCCCTGACACTACCTTTCTTAATGCAGAGTGTCACCCAGGGATCTGCTCTGAAACACAGTCTAACCTATAAGTAAAATAATGAAACTCAAAAGTCCCAAAGACTTTCACACCTCATAGAGCACCAGCCTTAAGCATCTTCTGGTGCAATTACTCCCCTCAGTGACTCATCGAAATTTAGCAAGATGGCTTGAGAATAGACAGTATATGGAGTGATCAGACATTGTCTCTGTCCTGCTTAAGTTTTTATTTTTGTGATGAAACACGATGATTTAACACAACATGTGGAAGAAAGGTTTTATTTCTTCTTATAGTTTATAGTCTATCATGAAAGGTATTAGAGGTAGGCACTCAAGGTAGGTACTGAAACAGAGGCCATAGAATAAGTACCATGGCTTACAGGCTTACTCTCCAGTGTTTTTTCTTAGACTATTTTCTTATATCATCAAGGTCCAACTACCCAGAGTTAGAACCACACACAGTGGGCTTGGCTGTCTCACTCCCACTTCAACTATCAGGCAATCAATAAAATGCCTCCACACCCTTGCCTACAGGCAAGGCATATTTCCAAGTTAAGTTGCCTCTTCCCAGATGACTCTAGCTTGTATTGTTAGCAAAACCTAATGTGAACAGTCTCCAATGGCATCCTCTGTCCCTCATTTTCTGTTTATCTTTATTTCCATAAATAAAGGGCACAGTCTCATGATAACAGCTGGTCATCAAAGACTTGTGGTAAAAAATGATGCACAGACTCAATCAGGAAGTTTTGTGTCCCTCAGAGTCTCAATCCTTTCCTTACCTTCAGTGCTATGCTTTATTGAGGCTTGGTGTACTTGAGCTGTGATCTTGACAGACAAATAGGATTCCAGAGGCACAAAATCTGATCTCCAACAAGGTGATAGCAAGTTGGAAGTACTTAAAGTCCAGATTGATATAGAAACTGACAGGCCATAGTCAAGTGCTTGAAGTCCAAATACTTACTTCTCCTTCTATTTCTGGCAGAATCCAAGGACCAGTCTCCCACCCACACTGAGAATGGTAAGTGGAGCTATCATGGCCAGTGGATACAGAAATAGTGGGATCATTGTGGGGTGGTGAAGCCTCCTCTGAAGTTCATAAATTGAAAGTACTAGACTTGCTCCCCACTTAGATAATCTGTTCCTCACATAGCCACGGCCTCAATATATCTCTCTACCTAGATCCCATACCCTTGTTAACACCAACCTCTGATTCACTGGAGCCTTGAATTCTCTAATGAAGTTTCTTCCTAGCGTGTAGATTCCTGGACAAGTTTTATTGAATAGTGAAGGAAAATCACAATGGTCTTTTGAGATCCAGACTTGAGGAAAATCACCTTCTCTGAGTCTTTATCTTGATTTCTGCAAGCATAAAGGAAATTGTTGGCCCAGACCTTCAATTTACTTCCTGTACTGTCCTTGGCTGTGACCTCCTGAATGAACAGGAGTCTCATCCATCAGACACCAGTTTTGGAATGACTATGTCCCCTCTGCCACAAGAATGGTGACACACTACACTACATTGGAAAAGACTCATAGTTAGGGCAGGATATTCTGGAACTTTCTTTCTAGAACAAGTACCTCATCCTTTGTAGTGAGGACAAGGCTGAAAGTCAAGTGTAGGGTTCAAACCCCAGCTCTTTTAATCCTACTCTCTGGGTAATGGAAACAATTCCATGCTTCATGATTGTGAGGACGGAGGCTATGAGTGGGCTGGGCATACAATAGGTGCCTGAGTAAATAACATCTTTTCTTCATGCACGATGCCAACTGTGCCTAAGGATTGGGAAGGTACCAGAAGGTTCTGATTGGAGTCTTGGTCAGCCTCCTCCTGTTTTTCTTCCTCCTTATTCTTCTCATCCTCTTCCGATATCAATGTAAAGGCAAAGAGAAGAAGGCAGGTAAGTAGGGTAAGAGTGACTTGGTTGTATGGATGTTGTGGGTAAATAAAACATGTAGCCTCCAGATCTGTGAAAATTTCAAATATTTTGTAAGGTTTTCCATCTCCTGCAGTATTTGTATACTTACAGGATGTTTTTTACATCCCATTTCTTCCTCTGAAATTTTCTATTGGTAGAGCCTTCCCATCCAACTAGCTTATACTTTTTCAGTTCATGCAGACCAAAGGGAGACCAACTTGCAACTTCTTGAAGGGGATACAGACCCAACAGCCAGAGATAGAGTCCCTCAGAAGAGGTAACTCCTGCCCAGAGACCCAGACTCCCACCTGCCATAGACCTCACTGCTATCTGATGATCCCTGTCTCCTCAGATCCGGCCCAGATGCTGCCCTCAAGGAAGAAAACCAGGGTGAGAATAAGAGGTCCTTGGGGAGGGAGATGCTCTAAATGTTGACACCACAAGACTGATAGGAAGGGTCTGGGGTCAACACTCTGAGGGACTGAACTTTCACTATGAACCCAGAGATTTCATCACACTCCCTGGTACTCTCTCTCCTTGTGGGACAAGGGCATGGGTCTAGGAGACTGAGAGATTCCATAGCCAAGAGATAACTCCTTTGTTCTAACCTGACAGATGCTTCTGCGATGGACCCACAACCTGAGGAGAGTGTAGAGCTGGACAGTTGGGTAAGGCTGCTGCCATTCACAGTGATAAGAGCTAATGGCCCAATTTGGTCTATTACTCCCTCTTTGTGGCATTATCAGTCACAGCTGATCCCTCCATTCTGGAAGAATTTGTCTCTATGAACTATGATCTCTTCTTCTTGGTTTCACTACGACTACATGACCCTTTTCTCCTGTCTCATTTCTGGATGTGTGTCATCTGTCTGTTGCTTAGCATGTGTCTAAAGACTTGAAAGGACATATGAGTCACTGCGCCCTCATTTCTCAAGATCCTCCTATACTCATTCACCCTGTCATCCACAGAGAGCCTCTTTATTTTAAGCTTGAGAACAATTTTATTAGTGTTTAAAAAAAACAAAGGTAACCTGTAAATCTCAGCAGCTTCCTGGAGGAATAAAAAGAAAATAGAGAAGAAAAATGGAGTAAAAGCCATGTCTGAGGAGAGCCAAGATAAAGATCAGCTAAGTGATGGCTGGCAGCCACAAGGCAGGGAGGGAAGCTTTAGAGAAAGAGCAAGTAATTCCAAAGTGTTAGGAAATGTGTGCTTAGAACAGATATACAAAGAAATAATGGAAGCATT